TGCGACTCCAAGCCCCCCTACCAGTAGCGGATGCTTGAAATTCACTTACAGAGAACGTAGTGAAGCAAACTTAATCCAACAATTTAATGCAATGCTAGATAAATTATGTGATAAATGAACCACATGGCGAAATTGAGATTTGGTAGATAAAATAAAATGTTTTTTATTGCTAAGTATACTGCGAAAGGATATCTCCACATTTTTAACAATGACTAGCATTTTATTGCCAAACACTGCCATATTCCGAGATAGTAATGCGACCATAACACAGAAAAAAGGTTCAGGCGAGGTATGTGAAGCATCGGTGACTCGGTGGATCAGAGCGAAGTCACTCGCCTTTCACCGAGGCCCGGCTTCGATTCCCGTCGGATCTCGGACAATCTCATGTGAAATTTGTTCCGACAAAACTAGTTTACCTGCGTGTTAGGGGCTAGCCCAACACCTGTGTAGAGTCCCTAAACCCTACCCTTTGCCTGAATCCTTCCAAATTCATGTCGCTGGGAAGTGACGAAAGTGCATGGGAAAGCGTGTGGAAGACGCGTATGCGGAAGTCCTCTGGGCAACGGCGGACGGACTAAGACTACAGTAAGGTCTTCTAAAGAGTAGAGGATTACTCCAAATCCATATAAATGTGACGCAGAATATCATCAAACGTCTTCCCTGGCGAACACAATCGCCAGACATCTTCATAATTGAACCTTTATGGAGAGCCTTAGCGCGGAGAGTGAAGAGCAGATTTCCCGCTCCAACATCGGAGATCGGGGGATGTTTTGATACAACAATATTTATAGTATAGTTGAATAACACTAGGGAACAAAATGCTTACCTCCAGAAAGGTAAAGTGTGCAACGTACACAATTTAATACTTAAGATTACGAATATCGCAATAAAAACGTCATATCACGTCACAGCTATCAAATATGTCGTATATTTATACCGTATTATACTGTATTTTGCTATTAATGCAAATACTTTTAAATTGCGCCTGTAAGATGTGTAAAATCAATATGCATACAATCCATTTAAAAATTAAATTTGTTCAGTTCATCTACGCCACTTTCATGCGATATCAACGTAAGTGTGCTTCAGTGTCCCCCCCCACCCTTTTACATTCGAAGATTGCCATCTTTATTCTCGCCTCTGGTAGTTACGCTCAATTACGAGTAGATCTTATTTGATGTTTTAGATTTAGATTTATTCAGTCAAAAAACAGTAAAAACTTTATGTGACGTAGGGGAGAAAAGATGAAAACAACTCATGTGCACCCTCACATTTTCTACTGCAAAGTTAGTAATCGAAAGGATACCGGAACCCCTTACCGGAACTGTACCCGCAATACGCGTGATGTTTGTGTCTGGTTTGCGTGTGCCTCTAATACATTAATATATACAGTTCCGTGGGTTTTATGAAGTGATATTTGCTACATGATTTGTTGAATTGAATCGGTTCGATGGAATGCAAATCGTCATTTCACATCGACAAAGTGCGAATCAACCAGGTAACTTCTGTTACGATTGTGGAAGATTTACACCCAAAGTTCAAAGACAAAAATCTGAAATTACAAAATTTGCGTATTCATCAAACTTTGGCTGTCGTGTTTGTAATCAGGACCAGTGGCCAGTGTTGTCACCTAAACAACGAACCTTAGGTTGTGGTTGTATCGAAAACTTAAATCATTGTCATTCGCTCTACCAATGCGGAGAATAACAACAAACCATTTGAATGATGTCTGCGCATTATTGCACGAATATACGTATTCCATTTTTAACTCGATCTTACCTCATATGAAGCATGCTCACAAAATTTTGTAGTAACATAACAGGAATAACAATGCGGAAATTCGTGTAAGATACTATTAATTTCAAATACTAAATAAGTTTATATCTTTTGAACCTTGCGTGAGAGAAACGTTCTATACTGATTTTCGAATCCGCGTGGCCTTTTTATGTGAAAGTACCCATTTTCATCCAGGAGGAATGAATATTTTTATTCCCGATGTAGAGGAACGCTTTTCCGTCGCGTCCCGCTAGAAATCTCTCTCTCTCTCTATCTCCCTCTATCTATCTCTCTCTCTCTCTCCCTTATCTCTATATCTCGCTATCTCTCTCTCTCTCTATCTCTCTCAGAAGAAGAAGAAGAAGAAGAAGAAGAAGAAGAAGAAGAAGAAGAATGACGTGAAAAGGCGTACCTTTGTTTTCAGCAGCCGTAGGAGATCCTGTGGCTTTTCGGGTACAATACGAGACAGAATAGCTAGTACTACGGGTATGGCCAGCCGGACCCAGTTGTTGTAGTGGTCCACCGCCAACTCCATAACCACAGCCAGGTGAACGTTTACTTCCAGTGACAGACAAGCCCATCAGTCCCCCTGGAGGTTCTTTATTATTCAGATTTGGAGTAGATTTAAATATTTCTTTCATGAAATCCAATGGTCGAAAGTCGGATTCTAAGGAATCAACAGCTGCCTCTAACGTCAACAAAAGCTCCGTCACATATCCCTAAAATAAAGTCAATAATCAACAAATTTATAACATTGAAATCAATGAATTTTCATTGTAGTAAGCAAAGCGTCTTACCTGCATATCTTCTCCCTGTTCAGCTACTGTTTCCACTAACCGTGACAAAATGTCTGATAACATTCGAGATGTAATTGGAACTCGCAGGGCTCTGAATAACTAGAAATACACATATTTGTTACATATGTATAGCCAATATTTGGTCGTAAAACTAATTTTATATATTTTAATATATAAAACTAATACTAATTTTACATATTTTAAAAGCATAAAAATATTCAAGCAATTTTAAAACACTTTCAATACACATTTCAAAAATTATGATTTGATATATGACGTGAAAAAATATGTTCATGTTCAGCCGATTTTATCCAAAACTGATATTCTTCGATCGATATGGAGGATGTCGCAGCTCCTTGAATTTGAAATCGATACTTTAATTTTGGGGGATACTTTCCACAAAGCCCCTGAGACATTTTCAAAAAATGGGTCCATCGTTTTTAATTAAAGGACGTTTACAAGGATGGTGCAAGTCTCGTGTTGGTCAAAAACCACGATTTTTCGAAAATTGAAAAAATTCAAAATGTTTTCTGCATCTTCCTACAAGTACAATTATGAAGATACAATTTTCTTCATAATGAAATGTGTTCATCAAAACCAGATCTTTAAATAAGGTCATGTTCACTTTTTGTAAAACAGTATTTTTTTGCGAAATTATGTCAAACATAGGCAATTTTTATTTTCTTTCAGGGGAAGTTCTACAAGTCACAGGCCCAAAATTTTCGATTTTTGTGTAATTTTGAATCTTTAATATTCACGTAACGCAACACATTATACATTTTCGAGATATTTTGTACTTAAGATCTTGAAAATGCAATTTACATGTCTAACCACGCGAAGAGTCTTCAAGTCACTACAAGACACGACCCTACTACTTAGTTACAGGCCCAAACGGCAGAAGTGGAGGTCAAAAAATGATGAAAAGAAGCAAGATTATAGGAACAGAAAGAAAAGTGCAGAGAATGTGAAAGATGCTAAAGAGCAAGAACATTCACCAGGATTGTCTGAGAGTATTGTTCTCACAAATCGTGCATTCCTCGAAAATTATTATTTTTTGTTTTCATATCTTCATCTTTCTCAGAAACTATTGCACATAACTCTATGAAATTTTTACTATTTATGTATCATGTATTTACTGCACCTAGTTGTTTCTTATAGAAGAATTCAATTATTCAAAATTCTCATTTTGAGTATATTTATAAAACAATGTTTAAAAAATACAAATTTGGACAACATATTACTATACAATGTAAATGACGTTGAGTCATTACGAAAACCCCGAAAACCAAAACCACTGCGTGATAAGAACATTGCTATAAAGTAGTGTGTCAAATTTCGAAGGGTTTAACGGGAGGTTGTACAGACTATTTTTTTATTAAATTGGAACCTTAAATAGCATAAAGAACGCTTAAGAGAATGGAGCATGTCTCATGTTCGTTAAAATGCCTAATTTTGCGAAAATATAAAAAAATTTGGAGTCTTCCTAAAAGTTTTTTTCTCTTCATAAATGTGTTCATAAAAATATATCTTCAAATAAGATCATGTTGAATATTTTTGAAAATATAAGTATTTTTTATGTAATTGCATGGCATACATAAAACCCACTCCCAATTGACTGCGCTTTGTTTACATAATAGAGGTAACCACATAGTTCCAGCAGGATGCTTCGTAAATTAAAATTTGTATATTATGTCATATTTCTTCATTTGTTTCTTACATTCAAGCTTTTGATATATGTTTACAAATTAATCTTTTATAATTTATTAAAAATCTATTTTAAATTGTGATCTTTATTTGAGTTAAATGTGAAATGAATAGATGATTTCGCATTGCATAATAAGATGTGGGAATGAAAAGTAATGGGCATAAAAGCAAAAGTAGTTTTCATTAATATCACATTATTATATTTATTTATTATATTTTTGAGTCCATTTTCATTTTCTTGCCAGGGGTATCAACAATGATAATTTGCAAAATGAATCCCATACGAATTAGTGGTCGTTGTTTCATGTTGCAAATCACTGTTGGGTCATTAATAACAAAAGGCAACAATGACAGCCGCAGTTCGTTCGCGTTAATATAAACTAATAATTTTATTTACGGCAAAAATACGCATCGCGCATCATTGGTACATTTATGCAGAACGTGAATATACTGAATTATAAGGAGGAAAGCTGTTTTCGTTTGTGAAATGAGTGTGAAAAAAGTGTTTGAGAAAAAGTGTCATATTATTTTACATAGCTATTAGCAATATCGCAAGAAAGTACCTGCTGTTGTAGCACCACCAGTTTTAAAAATTGAAAATAGGGTTTTTACTCTTTAATGCAATCTGCTTTACAGACAATTTCGAATAAGGTCATGTACAATCTTTCGAATCTTTGGGTAGTTTTCGCGTATTTGTTCCTGAAATAACAGCACTACATTTTTTGATTAAATTTTGACCTTGGGTACCGTAAAGGGCTCCTGAGAGAATGACGCGGGTTTCACTTTCATTAAAATTCCTGCTTTTTCGAAAGAATTGCAAAAATTCAAAACTTTTTCGGCGTCTTTCTGGAACTAAAAATACGAAGACTATTCCACTAATGAAATTAAAACCAATAATGATTAACTACACATACAAAATGCCCCAATCAGGGCAATGTATCTCAAAAAGTTTATTGCTTTTGCTATCCGATTTTTCTTACCGCTCCTACCTACTGGACGATCATAAACTGTCACTCATCTATCTTAGGAGGCGGTATACATCGATCACTATGTCGATGTCCAATAAACAGCGCATGTACTATAACATAACCTCGGATTTTAACATTAGCTTTCTGTTATTTTCAATATTTGGCGTAATTTGGAACTTTGTTGGACATAATTTCACTCGTGGTATAATCTTATTAAATACCATTCGTGCTTTGGCAATTCTCAGATAAATCCCCTCTTCGCTTCCGAGTCGGGGATTTATCGACAATTTCCAAAGCACTCGCGGTATTGCCTATGATAATTTATTTCTTAGTGATATGTGTTTATCAGAAACTGATCTTCAAATACAATTATGTTAAAATTTTCGAAAATCTGAGTATTTTGGCGTAATTTTGCGTCAAACCTACGCAATTTTTTAATTTTTATTCAATTATTTTCTCAAAAACGGGTTTAAAATTGTTTAATTTTCAATTTTTTCCGCATATATAGGAAAGTAAAGAAAATTGTGCTGGTCCCATTTTCAGACAAAGTAATTTCAGAGGTGCTTGGGATCAGAAGGATATATTGAGAATCCCTTCTCATTGTTTAACTTTACATTAACTAAAATTAACTTAATATTCCATGCAAATACATTTTTTTATTTAAGCTTCATAGAACTTTTAAACTTTTCCATTATACTTTTCTTGGCAAGCTCATTTTAAAAATGCATACTCTATCTGTACATGCTTGCATGTTTTGGTAGTTTTTTGAAAAATTCATGCATAATGTATGTTTGGAGATTTTTAAAATAAACAGTGTATGAGTAACCCATAAACAAACTGAATTCTAAATACGGTAAAAAATAAGAGTTGTTTGTTTTTTTTACAATTGATAAGAAAATATTTGTCAAGCATATATGCCAAACGAATTGTCCATTGTTGTTTCGACTACAACATGCTGGCAGTAATCAAGGCAAACTTGCATTAAATTATTCTTGCTTTTCTGTGTAATGTGCTGTAAATACTGTAACTGTTAAATTTATTTCTGTTTGTTTCATTTGTAAAAGTAAAAAATTATTGCTGCTCCTGACTACTGATATGAATGAAGAAATACATCACTAGCGGTTTGTTTGAATTGGACTTTTGAAGTAATAGCTAAGGTGTTAGTAGCACAGAAATTGCACTATTTTAAGATCGGTTTCCAATAATGCGAGAAAGTATGTGCTGTGGTAGCCCCACTAGTTTCTTTTCATTTTTCGAGTAAGGTAGATTACGCTTATAAAAAGGGCACAGATCCCATTTTCCTTGAACTCTCTTTATTCTAGATAATTGCAAATTTTTAAAATATTCCTGAGAATACAATACTGATAAAATTTTTATCCTCAATAAAATCTCTTCCTCAAAATTATATCTTGAATCTTTAACTGACTTAATGAATATTCATCAATACTCATTGATCTTATTTATTATACCCTACCTGAAGTGAGCGACCAGCATAATGACGTGATGAACAGGATAAACCCAACTGAAGAGCAGTTTGAGCCCATCGTTCACTGATAAGAGCATGTGGAAGAGAATCACGGAATACACGCAAAACATGTTGTAAGAATATGTCTAGCTGCTCTGCACTACGAACTGACCACACTTTAGCTGTAATGTCTTCGTAATTCCACAAAGGTTGATTAGGCCTACAAAAAGTAGAATTAAAAGAAAATAATTGTAAATATAAAAATATAATTAATTACACAAGATTTTATATACATTTTATAAAAGAAAATATTCCATACCGTGATGCAAGAAACTCAATCAAAGATTTGATAACATCTTGAACTGGCATGTTTGGTCCAGGTTTGGGACCTGACCAAACTGCATGCTCATCTGGAGTAACAATAACTGGTGGGATAACATTACTTGCTTCTGAAATAAAATTGGATTAATAATAAATATGAAGCTTTCCAATCTGCAGGAAATATTCTTAAACTTTAAAAATATCTCACCTGTTCCTAAACAAACACCCTGAAGAGACATTGCAGCAGGATTTGGTACTGGACCTTGTAAGTAACTGTCAAATTCTGGATTTGGTTCTGTAAGAGTTTAATAATACCAATTCGTTACTACATTTTAAAGAAAGCTATTAATCAACAATTCTGAATGGAAAAAGGACTGTAAAGGACTAATTTGAAATCGGTTACCTGTAAAAACATGAATCAAGACTGGCAATACTGGAGTTGGTAATCCCATGCCTAAATGATGAGTTTTACAATTCAAGAGTATACGTGCCACAGTTAAGTGGTCTCCATGATCAGCTAAGACAATCAACAAATTCAGAAGAAGCTGTTTACAATGCTCATGAACTAATGGGCGGCTATGGTCTAAACCCAAAAATAATATATGAAGCATTGCAGGTACATGAATAGACCAATCAAGATCTGCTCCATCAACCACAACATCCACTAACAACATAACAGCAACATTACATCTGCAACATAAAAAAAACCAACAAAAACCGAATCAATTAGTTAACATAAATATACTGAGAAAGTTTTCATTTGTCTTCTACAAAAGAGCTGTTTCAGAAAGTGTGATGGATTAATAATAATAATATTATTAATTAATATTATTATTATTAAGTCACATACATGATTTCAATTGTGTATGACGGGTCAACTATGATGTATGTGGAGGAGTACAATTGTGAATGTTTTAGTAAGTTCGAGAATCCCTACACTTCCTTTTACTACACACAATTAAGCTTAAAAGTAGAAAGGAGTATTTTAAGATTCCATGAATGTTCACTATGTCATAGAACTTCATGGGCCAACAATTTTCAGATTTAATTTGAATGTACTGCTGATACATAACTAACCATCCATTCCTTTCGTGCTTAGCAAAGACCTCATTGGGCAGAAAGTGAAGTTACTTTTACTATCCGGAAGCAAAGTGATACAAATGGGAATGCAAATGGGCCAACTCCGGATTTCCTCAAAGAATCAAGGGAAACCAGAGTCTGGTTTTTACAAAACAAATTGAACCCCGCTGAAACAAATGTTATTTAGTTACCCAAATATGCATAAACATTACAACAAAACGAATCCTAAAAATTTCTAAAAGTCGTGTCTGCATTCCATGCACCAAAATCTAATAATTAGGTGCACCTATAGTAAGAGCGAATTATAAAAGAAATTGATACAAAATATGCAGTGATTGACTTGTTGCCCAATCTTGTAATGAGGGTACAAATAGAGTATACACGGAAATAGTCACTCAACAAGAGTGACCTCAGCCTCCACACCTCAACCACCGGTTCACCTTCATGTGGTGGATCTGATTCGCCAAGCAATCCGAGCGGAGGTTGAATTTCAACCCCAACGAAAACCAGGTTGTTGAACAGAGAAACGAGGCGGGGTCGTGGTAACCATATCTTAGTATTACAAATGGGAAAGGCTTCTGCAGCTGGAGAACATCATGACGTAGAGGTGGTAAAGGCGTTGTCAGAAGGGCCAACTGAAAAGCCAATGGCGGTGCCAATAACCCAAGTTAGGAGGATTACTACCATTACACCTGCAGCAGTAGTATAATGTGCAAGTCTATCATTGTGTGAGATAGAGACGAAATATGGGTTATAATAACTCAGAAAAAGGGCTGCTGCCTGCGGAATGCCAGAGCAAACCTAGAGCTGGTTCTGTATATGTCAGTATGCAAAACACTAGTGTAAGAGCTACGGAAAACTCCTAAGTGGCTAATGGAATATCCCACTTCAAACATCGAAGCACAGAGGTCGCTTTAACATAAGAAGTGAAAATTTAATAAAAAATGGAGTGATGTTTAAAAAAATATTTTTTTTACAAATGCTGCGCGAAAAAAACTGCAAATTTTCAGCAAAAATCCTCATAATACACCACCCTAGTAATGAAAAAGTGTATACATCCAGTTGCTAAATTCAGAAAAAGATTGTCTTCATACATGGTGTAGCCAGAATCCATGTTTTGTGGGTCCTTGATGCGAAAAAAACGATTGACGGCAATACGTCCATCCGTGAACAATGCTAGCAGCAAAACCGTTCAGCCGATTTTCTCCAAAATTGACATTTCTTTTAAATTTTTGCAAAATCAGGCATTTAACGAACATGAGACCTACACCATTCTCTTAAATGTCTTTTATGCTATCTAATGTCCCAATTTAATACAAAAATGTGCAATTAAAAAAAAGCCTATATTTGACACAAAGGTACGAAAAAATACTTAGTTTTTGAAAAATTGAAAGTGACCTTATTTGAATATCTGTTTTTAATTAACACATTTCATTAAGAAAAAAATATATCTTTATAATTGTAGTCTAACAAATTTTGAATTTTATTTTAATTTTACAAAAATTAGGGTTTTCAACCAACATGAGACCAGCACCATTCTCTACTTTTAGATATGAATTCTAAAGAATGCTCGATTGGCAAAGTAAGCTTTTTAACCAGCTACGTTTCTTGCAGTATTAGGTAGTAGTATAATACAGCAGCACAGTTGGAAATAATATTTCGCTCCATCACAATTCAAACAATCATATTTCGCTCCATCACAATTCATACTTGCCTCCTTCCACTTTGAAGCGAAGATGTATATTTTCAATGTGGATGTTTAGGCATAAGAGTTTGTGTGTGCGTATGACCGTGCGGTGCGGTGCGGTGCGGTGCGGTGCGGTGCGGTGCGGTGCGGTGCGGTGCGGTGCGGTGCGGTTGCGGTGCGCGGTGCGGTGGCGGTGCGCGGTGTCGGTTGCGCGGTGGCGGTGCGGTGCGGTTGCGGTGGCGGTGCGGTTCGGTGCGGTGGCGTGCGGTGCGGTGGCGGTGCGGTGCCGGTGCGGTGCGGTGGCGGCGCTTTGCGTGTGGTGTGAGTGCGTAGTGTGTGCGGCGGTGTGGTAGCGGAAGTGGGTGGGTAAGTCGTGTGCATGTGTGGTGTTTTTTTTACATTGACATATTTTACTTATTTGTTTAAATGTTATACTGTAGCGGTACAGAATTATTCAAGATAATTCTATTGAGTAAAGCAGAAACCTAGGAATTTTTGTACTGGAAGAAAAAAATACGGCGTCCGCGCGCAAGCCTTTCTTGCAACGGCCAACGGTCCCCTGAACCCATTTCGAAGGTTTATGGCACTGCCACCAACAACCGACAAAAGGGGTCAAACTGAAAAGCCCAAGCCGAAAGCCCACAGCTAGAATACTTCCGAACGCCTGTCATTGCGTAATCGGGGGATCCCAACGGCAATAATTTCAGTAGCTGGGAAAGCACCTCAGACAGACATGACCCACTTTCGAACAGTGAACGGAAAAATTCTATACTTCGGCCGGGCCCTATTGGGGCCAAATTTAGTGTACACGCCATCACCTTTAAGCCCATAGCGAAGCGATCATTTTAGGGGAGCATGAATCACATGAGGAGAAAGGCTGGGGAGAAAGAGTTAACCGTCGTACTGTTTGGAAGCAAGAAACAAAGTTAATTTAGGAGAAGATCTGCTGGGGTGGGAGCCGGTCGCGGGGAGAGGCGAGTGCGCCTCCGAAGCCACTATGTTAAAAGTTACATTAGGAGAAGAGAGACTTTCTCTGGGGTGGGAGCCGGTCGCGGGGAGAGGCGAGGGTGCGCCTCCGAAGAGCATTTTGTAAAGTTACATTAGGAGAGAGAGACTTCTCTGGGGTGGGAGCCGGTTCGTGGAGAGGAGAGGTGAGTGCACCTCTAGGACTGGCATTCACTTGAAGTTTATTAGAGAGGAAGTGCAAAGGCACTTACGGGGGGATAGGCGAATCTTTTGCCACTGCTTATCCAGCTACAAAATTCAAATTCGCTAGAAATTTGTTTCGAAGAGGAACCGCAGACGCTTCGAGAGACAATCTCTGGGTGCTCCGCACTTGTATCGGGGGTCATACACCCGGACATTTACGACTGACGGGCCGAAGCGGCCTCCAGCACGGCCCTTCGCCTGATGCCACGGACCGAAAGCAACCGCCGCCAGCCCACGCCCTTCTGAAGGCGTGCCGCCGGCCGCATTCTTGGAAGGACATCCGGCCGCCCACAAGCGCCCTTACGCTCGCAAGGGCGCTACTGAGCACATTTGTCACGGTAGGGTTTCCAGGCAAACGTAATCAGGGCCAACTAAGCTTAAGAGATTATTGTTAAAGGGTGCCGTGCCTGAGGCACACAAAGGTCCTCAGGGACAAAATTTGGTAATTGTAAGCTATAGAATAATTTTGTACACTCTTCTTTAGTTGTAAGTTCTTTC